CCAATGAACAGATATCAAAGGGACTTACTGCTGCCAAAAAAGAGCAGACCGTGCCCTTCGACCCGAGTTCTTTTGCTGAGCAGCAGCTAGCCACAGAGAAAGCTGATGACAAGGAGCCTCCCGCCCAACAGAGAAAGGTCTTCCCCTAGAGAGGCACACTGAATTTGGACAGCTTGCCTCTTCAACTGAAAAAATGCATTTCTGTTTGGTAAGGCCATCCACTTGTCGTATTTCTGTTATAGCAGCACTAGATAGCTATGGCAATAAGTTAAAATTTAATATCCTATTAATCAAGGAAGTTTCACACCAGAAGCTTTCTTGGAACTCTAAAAAAAATTACTCAAAGTTTCACGTGAAAGAATAAATAGGTGAACATAGCAAATGGTTTTCTAAGGAAAAGCAAGTTTGAGCAGGTGTGAAAACATTTATAACAAGGTCACTACATGGATACAGTGTGGAGGCAGCATCAAAAGAGTCTTTGAAATTAGTGGGACAAAATAGAGCCAGAACCAGTCCCAATCACTCCTGAGAATTTAATCTAGACTTCAGAAGACAATAGGGATGGAAAGCTTACGCAATCAACGGTGTTGGGCAAAGCCTCGCCACTTGAAAGGTCAACGGACTTAAGGCAGCTTGTGTCTTATGCAAAAATCAGCCCAAGATGGATTCAAGACTTAAAGTGATGATTCTGAGGATGTGTTGGTGCAGGAAAATGCATGTACATGTTAACTGTGAAGTTGAAAAAAACTCCAAGAAAACTATGTTCCTACCAACTACAGCTTGGAAAAAGGACAAGTATTAGTCTTGATAAGATCAAAGGATGAAGCATTATGATTGATGGAAATAGTTGTGTTTCAAATGCATGAGGCTTTTTGGTTGTTGAGAAAACGGAACTTAAATGGAATAGAAAGAGAGATGCTTTCACCGTTTGGTCAACACAGACTAGAGTTGGTACAGGGTGTTGGCACTATACCTGCTCTGGGTCAGATGAGGGAACCCGGGCAGTGAAGTTCCAGGGCAACTAGATTGACAGCCCTCCTTCTGATTCCTGAACTTGTCTCTCCATTTGGGTCTTCCTGTCCCCAAACCAGACTCAGATACCTGCCGGCCTCCTAGATGCCAGACTGTCTGGTTCCAATTCCAGCCCTACCCTGAACAATTGGGAGAACTTAACTCACTCACTTCACCTCCATAGAGCTCAGTTTTCTAATCAGTAAAATGAGGATACTAATAGCACCTATTCAGAGAGTTATTGTGAGGATTAAAGTAATTTAATCCAAGCGAAGACACTAGCACAGGGGTGCTCAGTACGTCGATCGCGATCTACTAGTTGATCGCTAATGTAGTGTGGGTAGATCGCATGGCATTAAAAAAAATAGATGGAAGTCTGTCATCAATCCTGTCACTTAAGTGATATACAGCGCAGCCAATGAGATGCAATCTTAGGTGTCAAACGCATGCGCAAACAACTACCCTAACTGCAGCAAAACTGACAAGCTAAATTATCGCCAATTTTTAGACCTTGGTTTTTTTCTCTTAAATGTAAGAAAGGGTATTAAAATGAGTGGGGAAGTGAGATAAAATAAAAAAACAAAGACGTGTGACTTTCATACGGAATGGGAGATTTTGACACTACAAGCCGACATTCAGCTGAAGTCCAGAGGCATGAGCAGTTCTGGAACTTACTCGCAGAGGGAAAGTACCCAAACATGACAAAATGTGCTACCTCCTTGACTGCGTTATTCGGTGGCTCTACTTATTTATGTGAGGCAGCCTTTTCCCACATAAAGATCATTAAGTCCAAGTCCCGTTCCACCCTGACTGATGACCATTGGGAAGTGTGCTTGAGGCTGGCTGTCAGCAGCTACTGTCCGGACTATGCATCCCTGGCTCATTCCATTCAGTGCAAGCCATCGGAGTAAACTCAGGTCATGACAAAAAATGTACGTAGTTAATTGTGTTGCCTTGTGCACTATGGACTCATGCGTTTATGCAAGGTACATAAGCATACATGGTGCATATAAAGAATTCTCAATGCATTTATGAATAAACATAATAAATAAATATATGTTTTGCATGTTTGTAGTTGGTAGATCATTTTGACTTGATCCTTTTATAAGCAGCTCGCATACTGAGAAAGTGTGAGCACCCGCGCCCTAGGACAATGTCTGGCAGAGTCGCTTTCAGTAAAAGTTGGTTGTCATTTCAGTTGAGGTGTCAGAAACCCTAAGGGAGGAGACAGAAAACCATGTTTGATCCCTAAGATGCCTGTGACTTTCCAGGCTTCGCCTGCTTTTGAAGCTGAGTGTCCCGGGCTTGCTTCCTTATCTCAGCTGACCAGATAAGAGGAACCTTGAGTGTAGACCAGGAATCCAGTGCTGACACCCCAGGCTCAGCTGTTTGCAATCTCTCTTTCCCCAGGGGCAAAGAGGAGACCAGCTTACACGTAGGGGTCTGAGGAAAATTAGGTCTTGTGCCTGGAGGATATAGAGGGGCCAGTTGTGGACACTTGGCTACAAGGCATATCTCACTGGACAGAGGGAACTCCTCAGGCCAAGGACAGACACCCATGCTAGCTTTGTCCTGTTTGGGGCTCTCTGCGCTGTAATCACTCCATCAGTTCAGGGCCACTCTGCTAGCCACAAATCTGCAGGTTTTCGGGAAATGGGGGTGCATTTCTTGAACTGCCAAGTCTTCCTCCTAAGTTGGGACAGATGGCTGGGGTAGACAGTGTAACTGTCTGTGTCCAGTCAGCTACCTCTGTGTGTCCTTTACACATAAACCTGAGAGTCTCCTTGGGGGGAAACTTTGCGTTTATTGCTTAATTTTTATTATCATCATCAGCCTTTTATTGCAAACCGACAAGGAAGGAACGCTTATGGAAGCAGTAGTCAAGTGTTCAAATACTGCCTTGCATTGGCTAAATCTGTGACACAAGACCTCTTTAAAGTGTTGAAAGTCAAAGACGTTCCTTTGAGGACTAAGGTGCACCTGACCCAAGCCATGGCATTTTCAAAGGCTTCCTCTGAATGTGAAAGTTGAACTTTGAATCAGGAAACCCAAAGAACAATCGATGCATTTTCATGATGGTGTTGGTAAAGAATATTGAAAGTACCATGGACTGCCCAAAACACCAACAAATCTGTCTTGGAAGAAGTACAGCCAGATGGTTCTTAGAAACAAGGGGAGTGGAGCTTCGTCTCATGTACTTTGAACATGTGATCAGGAGAGACCAGTCCCCGGAGAAAGAGCTCATGCTTGGTAACTAGAAGGGCAGTGAGAAGGAGGGGACTCTGGCTGAGATGGACTGACAGCCTCGCTGCGACCCTGGGCTCGATAAGTGGTGAGGGTGGTGCAGGACTGGGCAGCGTTCTGTTCGGTGCTACATAAACCGATCCAGTGACACCCAACCACAGTTAATGGCCACCAGGAGGAGCCATGGACGCAGCTTCTGGGTGCACGATGGCGAAGGCACTGCAAAGGGCCTTCTCCTGGGACCTGGACCAGGCGAACCAGAACCCAGATCCCTGGACAGGGAAGGGGACACAGAGGGTGGGCTGCAGAGAGAAGAGAAAGAGGAGTCCTGGGAAGCCCCGAGGCTCCTGCCTGATGCCTAAGCGAAGCCACCCTCTTTCCTAAGTGTTTGAAGAGCTTCCGATCCACACAGAGCTGGGCAGGCGGATTACCAAGACCCTTCCGTCATTCATCCACCTGTTCATTTATTCACTTTTTTATACAGGCGACCACCTTTGCCAGAGCCAGAGACTGTACCAGACGCTGAGTGGGACAGGCCTTCTGAGGGAGGGACTGGGGGTGGGGTAGGGGGCTGGGGGCATTAACACTCCCACTCTGCCCAAGCCTGCAGCCTCTTCTCAGCCTTTCTTGGATGACGGGGGACTTTGTCGTCTGCCCTGTGTGTGTTATTTTTGCTAACCTTGGTGTGTCTGTAGTTCCTGGTGATCAGAAAAAAAACAAGCAAATCATGGCTTCAACAGGAGAAGGGGGAGGTGCGTGTGTTTCAGAGTCCGGGAGCAGAAGAGACCCTAGAGAGCCGCCCAGAGAGCAGTCCAGCAATGGAGGGGGGCGGGGTCAGAGCGAGCTCTCCTCTAGGTCCTAACCCCTTCCCCATGGCCTCCCCCAGTGTTCCCACTCTTACCACATCCTTTGGCTCCTCCCTCCTCTTTCCCCATGCCCCACTCCCTTCACATGTCCTCTCCACTTTTATAGGTCTCTCCCCCCCTTGGAAGTCTGGCCTTGAGCCTCCGGTGCTAGGCAATTTGGGCTGGCCCAGGGTATCCCCCTCCCTAATGAGCATCAGTTTGGGCTGAGCCCTGGCCTCAAAGGGGTCAAAGGTGGCCGTTTTATTTACTCACAGCTATGTGCTCCCTGCCCCTTGCTTTCATCTTTTTTGTTTTATAATGCAAACAGCCCCATGGTCACAGACACCCTGGGAGACTACTCCATCACCTTCCCTCTCTCTCCCCCAACCTCCCAGACCCATGGACACTTGCAGCCCTGCCATCAGGGCTCAGATTTCTCAACAGAGCACAGCTTTGCTCTTAGGACAGTTTTCAGCTGTCGATTTGATCACGTTCCCCTGTCTGTTTAGACAGAGCCTGAAGCGGAGGTGTTAGGAGTCCGCCAACGGGGGAGCTTGGACAGGGCGTGCAGGGAACGGGGCCACTTCCTTCTGGGAGTCTGGTGCGTGTGAGAACCCAGGAATGTGTGTGTGTGCATGCGTGTGTGAACCAGTGTGTATATAATCATGAGTATTAGGATGTGAGCATGTGCACGGCCCCAGAGATCATCGAGGCCCGGGTGATGCCAATGATTAATGAGCTCAGCCGTTAACTGAAATGTGGAGTGTTCCAGTTCACCGAAAGTCACCACGGAATATCTGCTTTCCAAAGTTCACGCGTGGGAAGCCTCATGGCAATAAAAAAAAAATGAAAGAAAGAAAACCTCATGGAGCGCAGTTCTAGGGTGACACTGGGGCTCACCGTGAGTCGCAGTCATCTCGACAACAGCAGTTGATTAGTTATATAATCATAATATATATTATTATATATATAATTAGTTATATAATTGAGGTGCCCTGTGAGGAGGTGTGTGTCTGTGTATGAGATGAAGCGAACATGTGAAGATGTTGTGTCTGAGTGTAGATCGATCTGTGTGTGCATGACACACACATGTGTGAGTGCAATGGAAGTGTGGGCGTGTGCAGACAAGCTGGGTGTGTGCTTGTGCATAGGTTTGCCTGTGTAAGCAGTGAGACCATGTGTGCTCGTGACAGAAGCTTACAGACAGGAGGCTGCCTGGGTGTGAACTCTTTAGATAGAAAGATAGATAGACAGATGTGTGTGCACACGCACTTCCTGTCCAAATGCTGCTTCCGAAGGTGTCTGCATTCAGAGGGCTTTGTAACGTCGACGATGGCAGATGTAGTTAAGTTAAAAGGTAATTGCTTATCATTTGATCTCTCTTATGATTCATTTCAAAGTTGTTCTAGTGTGTAATATTTCCTGCTTTCTTTCCCACTGCGATTTTTCTCTGTTTTGCCTTATTATTGTTCGTTTTTGCTTGTTTTTCTGTTTATGAAATCCAGGACAGGTAAATCTATGAGACCATAACTGAACTAATAATTTCCTGTGGTGATTATTGTACAACTCTTCTTCATTCTTAATTGAACTATTGAGTTGTCTGATATGTGAATTATATGCCAATAAAACTGTTTAAAAATAATCATGAAAGTAGGATCCATGTTAAAAAAGAATGTGTCTTTATAGCGCATAGAAATGTAGTAATGAGCAGCAGAATCCAGACACGAAAGCTGGTATTCACCATGACTCTGCTGAGGCAGCATTGGGTGGTTGACAGCAGCACACAAGTGGAAATCTTGGTGATTCGAATCTACCCAGAGGTACCTCGAAAGATGGGCCGGGTGCCCTTGACGCTGGACACATGGGGCTGCCATGAATCAGAAGCCACTCAGTGGTCACACAACACAGGACAGGTCTGCATCACCAAAGGGGCTGTGCCAATGAGGTGGGAGGTCCAACTTGTCTCGGCCCCTCTCCCTCCCCCAGGCTGGTCTGATTCTGGATACAGGTGGCACCCCCTCAGACTGGCACCTGGCTCAGCACCCAGAGGAACTGGGCGTTCTCGGCAATACCCCCGCCTAGGTTCCTCCCTGAAGCCAGTCCCTCCCTCTGGCCTTCTCCTAAACCTGCTCTGCCATCTGGCAGCCCGGCATCTCCCACAGGTGCCTCTGGTGACTTTCTTCAGGACCCAGTCGTCGTCCCGTTCCACCAGACTCAGGAGAGGTGGCCAGAGCTGGGGGCAGGAGAGAGCAGATGGACCACGCAGATGAGATTAAGGAAGTTAGCCTGCCCCTGCTCAAGCCCCCGGATGCGTCTCTCTACTCTTAGCTGGCAGAGTCCCCTCCTCCTTCCTCTGGGTTCCCTTTCCCTGCTAACCTGAACGCTGAACATGACCTCCTTCCTCCCACCCCGTGTCCTCCCTCTGGCTCAGCTGACATTTTACCTGAGTGACGGGGGAGGTGCATTGGGCCATGGCCACCTCAGGACTGCCCTGGAAGCATGGAAGAGATTTGAGACAGATATGTGTCATCCCTCTCTCCTCAGAACTCTGGACTCTCAGCAGAAAGTGACCCCAGTCTCCTTACGCACCCCAGCTTCCCATCCTAAGGTGTCCACAGACCCATCTCACCCTCTTTGATAAAAGAAGGCTTGAGAGAGAGTCTTAGTTCTCCAGTGCTGCTACAAAAGAACGGCCACAAGAGGGGGACTTTCACAAACAGAACTTTCTTTTTCTCACAGTTTAGGAAGCTGGAAGTTCAGAGCACCAGCTCCAGAGACAGACTCTTTCCATCTTCTCTGGAGGAAGGACCTTGTCTTGTTTCAGCTTTTATTCCTAGGTCGCTTGGCAATCACGTGGTCGCTATCTTCCCACATGACCTTGCTTGCTTAATCTGCTCTATTATACCTCAAAAAAGATTATTTCAAAAACACTCCGACGACACTAATCCTGCATTATTATCATGACAAAGAGAACCTGTTCCCCAGTGGGATTATAACCACAGGCATAGGAGTGAAGGGTTAGGATTTACAACATATTTTAAAACTCATTTTACTGGAGGCGCATACAACTCTTATCACACTCCATCCATCCATTGTGTCAAGCATACATTTTACAACATGTTTACAGCAATCCAACAGTGTCCCTCCTTTTTCCCCCCAATAGTTTTATTGGCATGTTATTCACATGTCATACAATTCAATAGCCCCGTCACATCAGGAAGAGTTGTACAATTAGAACACAGTCAGTTTGGGAACATTTTCTTCATTCTTGTACACAGCATTATTAGCTCCTCATTTCCCCCAACTTCCTCTGCCAGACCCCTAGCAACAATTAATCTAGTTGCTGTCTCTGTAGATTTACCCGCTGAAGACAAAGCGGGTGCATAAGCAAATGTGGTGAAGAAAGCTGATGGGGCCCGGCTATCAACAGATATAGCGACTGGGGTCTTAAAGGCTTGAAGGTAAAGAAGTGGCCATCTAGCTGAGAAGCAACAAAGCCCACATGGCAGAAGCATACCAGCCTGCGTGATTACCAGGTGCCGAAGGGATCAGTTATCAGGCATCATCAGAACAAAAAATCATATCATTTTGAATGTGGGGGAGTGCAGAGTGGAGACCGAAAGCCCATCTGCAGGCAATTGGACATCCCCTTACGGAAGGATCTGGGGAGGAGACGAGCCAGTCAGGGTGCAGTGTAGCAA